AGGCGCCGGAGGTCGCAGAACGACCTCCGTCCTCCATAAGCGCAGGCCTGGGGGTGACAGGTGAGGCCATCTGTCACCCTACCAGAAGCAGGCCGGGGTGGCGGCGAGCGCGTTACGAAGCGCGCTCGCTTCCAGGGAGCACAGGGAACATGGGGTTCCCACACGGGGGGGGGGGTCGCTTTCTCGTCTGTAGATGACCCGAGGTATGTCGGGGCACCAGGGACTTCCTTTCTAGGGTATACCTGGTTCCCCGGCTATTAGTACCCGAGACGGCGTGCGGTTTTAGTCGGTTCGAGTCCGACATGCCACCGACAGGTGGTATCCGAGGGGATTTCCGCACGGAAAAAAAAAAAGAAAAAGGGTCAGCTAGTTATTTAATAAAAACTTGTAATCACAGACCTAACTCTGCAAAATAGTAAAAAGTTTAAGTTGACAATAGAAATATGCAATATTCGATAATAATAATAAATAATAATAATAATATTGTACCACATTCACACAACGCCATCTAGCCCAAACTAAGCAGAGTTTGTACTATGGGTACTAGATAACTGATAGAAATACATATATACTTTTTTTTTGTAAATACATACTTATTATACATAGAAACACCCAGACCAAATCAAACATTAAATGTTCATGCACACAAATGTTTGACTAGAGCGGGAATCGAACCCGCGACCTTTGGAATAGCAGTCCGTTACACAGACCACTACGCCATTCGGTCGTCAAATAATTAATAATAATAGAACTAATGTTACAATAATTGCCTTGACTTCTCGACAAGAGGACAATTGTGTTAGTAGTAAATAATAAAAATCCTTACTCTTGAAGATGTTGTTTATACCTTTGGAATAGTTTCGAAAGGTGGGTAGAGGTGTTAACGTGTAAATTTAAAAACACAACATAAGTAGGAATATCTAACGGTAATTGTCAGTCTTGTGTCGACTACCATCGCAAACGGAATGCGTGGGCTGACCCCTTATTAAATGGACGGAACAGTCTGCAATCACGAGAACAACAAATGACTCTGATTTTTTAGAAGTTTCTCGAGACAGTAATAAAACATTGGTTTTTAATTTAAAGCCAACTCTCATCCTTTACAAACCACACGTAATTAGTAAGTTATTTGCGTAAAATATACAATTTATTCTCTAATAAAGTAGAGATATGATATTTCTTCGCTTGTATATTATTGTCATTAACGGTTTATTAAGTTCCAGTTGGTATGACTTGACCTATACTTGGAGAAATGCTTTACCAAATAATATATACAATTATACAAATGTGTTGAAGGTTTCATGTCTGTGCCATATTGGACTTTATGCATACATGTATTGTAGAATTAATATGTCTGGATATGACACAGTAGATGATTATAGATGTGATATTTTTGAAATGTTGAAATGCTTCTGAATTATAAATGTTTGTGAAACACGGTACTGATATCAATTTTCTGTTAGTTCCTATGAGTTTTCGGCTTCGGCTGGACTCCTGGAGGAAACCATCACTGGTGGAAAACTTATACTTTAAGAAGGTTTTTATTCTGTAATAAATTAGGGTACCGCGCAAAATATAAATAAATGCACATGCGTGCGAAGCTGTGGCAGACAGCTATTAATAGACGAGTAAATAACAAAAGTAAAGTGCCAACAAAACATTTATCACACCACATTTCTTTAGTATGAGTACAATTTTTAAACCTACCCGCATTCTCGATCTTAATTTTATACCTTTTGTATTTACATGTTTTTGTGAACTGTTGTGGTTTTATTTTGGATGAACCGTCTCATAGGGTAAGTTTTGAAACTGTTTGTAACTCCATACAGAGACTTCGTTATTCAGAAGAGAAAAACCTTCCCTGCTCATCATTGACGCTTAGACGCTTAGGTTTTCTAAAATTTATACAACAATTACTTTAAACACTCAATTTAAAGAGATGAAACTGTGTTTTGTATGCTAAGATTAAACAGGTCAATGAACACGTTATTTTCCAGTGGCCGTTCACTGGGATTTCCCAATGAATAGTAATCGCTCAACGGGAGAAACCAATATAGTGCAATAATATACAAGCTTTGTAAAGAAAAAAAAAGATGAATTTCAAAGGGCTTTCGTGAATGTTATATCTAATAACTTTATACGAACAAGGGTTGTGGGTGTATACCTACATTATACTGATGTATTTCGTGTTTCTTGAAAACACTGTCTACCTGATAAGATATCAGACAAAGGTAGTTATTTGTACGACAAACTTTTAGTCATATTATCAGTTTTGTCTAGAATCGTGGGCAGACGTAAATCGCTTTAAATCCGGATGGTGGTTTGATCAAAAGTAATTTCCTGCTCAAAAAAAAGTTGAATTGATGATCGTTTCTGTTGGATTTTGGCTTTGACGATCATAAAAAAACTTTGCCACAGTCAATTCAGTAGTACTTTTAGAGGAAATTTTATGTACCTTATTAATCTAAACTGAATCTTTCTGCCTATATTGAAATGTTGCAAAATCAGTGATGGCGTTTTTACCTTGTTGTAATCAGATTTAATGTTAAAAATTGGTTTTTTTCCTGCAAGAAATTATGATTCGCCTCTCGTGTTTAAAAAATATCATGTATTTTCGTTTAAAGGTGTGCAAGTCGAATTTATTGGTTATTTCGGGGAGTCGTAATATAAAGTATTTACAATAGTAGCGAATGTGTCCATTGGAACTTAGAACAAAACGTAATTAGTATGCGAATGGTGAAAGTACAAGCACTACACAAATACAAAAGTATAATTCGATGTTTACGTCTGTGGTGTCTTGACAGTAACCTGGTACTTATCAAACCAAACTGGTTTGTAGGCTTATGACGCTCTCTTTATGTAGGTGTTTGTACGTATAAAAAAATTGTTAGAAAATATCATATAGATCTGAATAGATCGCTCCTACCAGTCTCTTAACTGAATTTAATCCATGTCCTTAACGGTTTTATTTTTGGTGAACAATAAAAAAATAAATTAAAGGAATTCCTGTTTCGAGGTCAGAGTTACGCTTCCACCAGCGGTGATTTAGTCCTATGCTTGCTTATATTTTCCAAGATGATCATTGAAGGATCATTATTGTATTATTTTATAGAATAGACTACCCAGAGAGAGAAACCACTGAATCACCTTCAACCATAGGTTATAACTGGGCTTAGTTGATTAGCTCCGTTAGTTAGAGGTGGAAAGTTGTGGTCCCATTAGATATGATTGTCACAGGCAATTTTACGTGTTGCCTGCTATAATCCTACACCGTATACTATAATGGTCAACCTTATCATACCGAAGGAAAATAGTTGTTGAGTTCACAAGACTTATATTGCACGTAAGTAAGAAATTGGTCAAAAATATTTCCGTCTGTCTCATATTTGCGACAAAACCGGATGCAGCGTAGCTTTTTATCGCCACGTGCTTCGTTTGTCGAAGTGGAAGTACGACAGGTTTAAGCGTCACTCCTAGGCGTTGATTCACTTCCTTAGTAATTCTGAGAATTATCGTAGCGGTTACGTTTATTCCGATATTGTTTCATTTGTCCGCAAATTAAATCATTCTTTGAATGTCTGTTTGATTCTAATCAAAAATTGTAACTTAAGACAATGGTGTAGAGAAGCGGAAGAATCGTGCAGAAAAAATTACACACGGACATGCAAATCAACTTTATTGTTACTGTCACGGAATCAACAGGCACACTTACGTAATATCTTGAATCTAGATTAACAATTAATGTTTGTCAGTACTTTGTAAGGGGAAATGTTTGAAATTAATCGAAATTCTTCTGTCTCTATTTCGTATAATTTATTGTTCTATATCTTTAATGGACCCGTCAGAGAGTGTCATTAATATATAAATGCTGGCCCTCGGTAATTGTTGGTCGGCATTAGTAGATGGTCCTGTCGTTGGGTCGGGAGAGAATTAGATGGCGGCGGGAGGCGAAGGGCTTTGACCCTGTGTCCGTAATCAGGGCCGCGCTGGCAGTCGTTGGCCTCGTCAGACTCCTTCGTTCTGTTTGTACCTTTGTTTAAACAACACATTTTGTTTGATATCCTTTGTGCTCTACTCACAATAATATACTAATATCTAATCTGTCACTAAAACGATAGTGAAGTGTGTCGCTACAGGTACATGGACGCAGAATGTGTATATATGTTTAGAGATAGAGTGTCCTAGTTCGCAGACAAGCACTGATAAGCTGTCGGCGATGCAATCAATAAAATACGTAGCTAAAGCACTAAAGCGCTTTTAGGTCGAGGAACCAAGTCTACGAAATGGCAGTAAAAATGTGGCATCGCTTATATATGGCAGTGAATGGCATCGCTTAATTAGTTGATAGACGCAAATAGAATGCGAGACGTTTTATTGTTTGACAACTGTTCAACTTTAATAATGGTTACTTTTATATGGCTTGCGTAAGAGTCGGTGCATCGGTCGCGACCGGTTCCGGCGGGCGTGGTCATAATTCCCCACTAATCTTGACCCACAGCTGTCTTGGACCTGTTTCTTTATAATGAAAATCTCAGTAGACGAGAGTAGACTTTATGTACAGTATTCCATAGTTGTGCAACCTTAAATTAAGTATTATCAAATTCAATTTAAACCAATGCAAATAGTATTTTTTGTTATGGTTTTGAAATATATGAGAGTAGTATTTGTATGGGTTAATACAAACAATTGGTATTATTGACAAAAATATCCACAAAATTATCTCCGAGGGCGTAACTAATCCAAAAAAAAAGTCAGTTTCTAAATAACAACCGTACGAGCTTTGAGATTATATTTTTTTAGAAAGTCAGTAAATGAAATTTAAGTAATGTTATCGACTAACAAGGTTAGGTACTTGATTGGCCACTTATTTCATAATCTTTCTTATACTTTTCTTCACGCACCACTTAACTGCATTACATACGTTAGCAATGGTGGTAATAGTAAATTTATGGTATGATGTTAGTGACATCTTGTGATTAAACGTTAATTTCTTTTTCCAGTACTGCGGACAGTGCGGACTCACCAATTCTGGAGGAAGCCGGCGAGAGCGGCTCCGAACAGAAACCAAAGCCTCTTGTCAAATATGGAGAACTTGTAATACTCGGGTAAGTTTTATAAAAAAAAAACAAATATTAAGTAGAAATAGTTTTGAATCGGCGCCAAACGTACAAAATTAAATTGGAAAACATTTCGGCAAAGGATACACACATACTCGTTACCCGCCGCGTATTTCTTTACAATAATTTCATTTTATGCTATAATATGCTGGTTTGTATGTTATGCTCCGATTCTAGGTAAATTCTAAGGTAAGATAAGATACAAAAATAAGATACTATAATTTAAAAATTAAAGAAAAACGTAATATTATGTAGTTATTAACATTGGGACAAAAGGAATAACCGTTTTACATTCCATATGCAATATCAGTTAATAAAATGATATACACAACAGCTACCAAGCTGATAATAACAGTTTGCCAGCAGTTTGTTTATTTATTTTCAAAGTATTACTAATTTTACTAAATAATTCCTAAAGAAACCCACGTAACCCCCTTTTTTTTCTTTTTAAAGACATCCTTCATCCAAGTACATAACCAAAAAGGTAAAAGGTAAAGCACAGGTAAAACCTCGGTAGCTGCATCCCTACGCTAGGGATGCAGCTACCGAGGTTTTACCTGTGCTTTCTAGCTACTTAATCCCCCCAATGGACCTGTTGCGACCCCATTTGCAAACTGAAGAAAAAATCATATACCATGGGATGCAGATATTAGATGCGACTTTCCAATGCATATAGCGTAAGCGTTTAAACGTCACAGAATATTTTAAATTCGTTTATTTAGTTAGTTCCGTTCTTTAATTTGTATTAGCATAATAATTTGCAGCAATCTTATGGTGTTACGTTTATTAAATTTGGTATTAGGGGACTTTTACTATTAGACGCACGCATTTGAGCACGTGGGTATCTTAAGAGTCGAGTAAGGGCCCAAAACAACGCAGGACACCAGCAGTGTAAAAAGAAGGAAAACTTGACACAAACCCTATACCAACCAGTCTGGCCAGCGTGGTATAGTAGGCCAAAACCTCCTTTCTAAGGAGAGGCCTATGTCCAGCAGTAAAAATCTAAGAAAATATACTTGGAGACATTAGGATGGATCGGGTTATAACTACTTGGTATCTATGAAGCTCTTGATTAGAAGTTTGATGTCTTAGTCTATGTCTTAGTAGATATTAAGCTTTTACCATACGTATAAGGGGTAGTGCATAGAACAGGGATCTGACTGAACTATACAGAAGACCACTTTAAAGCGAACCTTAGGTTGTAACAAGTTAAAGAGTTTAACTATTTTTTAACCGACTTCAAACACACAAAAGGAGAGTTTCTTAATTCGACTAAGAGACTAGGACTAAGAGATTTTGTTATAAAGGTTTTTCTCACAGTTCATGAATTTACATTGCAGCAGATTTTCAAACGTGACCACCGTCACCGAAACTGACGTACACCTAAATATATTTAGACGCATAGGCACAACATTCACACAGCATTTCGGCTGTTTTGTCTTAGGAAAGATTACTTGTCCGTCCTTGAATGAAATAAATATGTACGTATATGTGCATTGCAGTAAATTTATTATCTTATCGCGGGAATCCAACTATTTATCTATGCATTTCATAACCCGCGAGTCAGTATTGATCATACCAAGTATGCAGTGACAAGTTTGCGGTATAAATATTTTCCTACATTGACGTATGTAGCCGGTGGCTGCTATTCTCTGTAAAAGTGTTTGCATTTTATAACCGGGTAAACAAAAGTCATCGAAGTTTTCTGTTGTCAACGCAACTTCGTAAACGGGTGCATTTCTTTTTGTAAAAGATGATTTTCTCTTCATGCCCCGCAACTTATCAGGAATTTTAGGAAGATTAAAGTAATATTCACCTGTATTGTTATGAATGAAAAGAAACACTTCGATTCGATCGATTTCGCTTCCATTGGCGCCGAACCATTCGGATTCCACCTATTCTTTCAACTGCTGTTTCATATATGGCGCGGTCTGGTGGACCCATATTTCATCCATTGTGACAAACGCCGTACAAAATCTGTTGTATCCGTATTGAATCTGTCCAAACATTGCAACAAAAATCTTTACAGTGCTTTTCTGAAAATTTGCTTTTGATGAGCATCCCTAATTCACTCGCACTCTTTCTGCCGATATCTACCTTCACACGGCTATCGTCTAACACGATATCGTGTACCTTTTCAATGGTTTCCGGTGTGGTTGCGGTTTTTGTCCATCCGTAATATGGGCTATCTTCTAGAGATTTGCGACAATGTTTGAATTCAGCTGCCCACTTTTAAATACTGTTGCTATAGCAACAGGATTTAAATAGAGATAGGATCTCGTTAACTTTTGTTAGCTTAGGAAGATATTCTTTCGGGGCTTACTCATCTAAAACGAACCATTTTAAGGTCGCATGAGTTTATCCATTTTTTTTGAAAAATCATCTCTCAATTCTATTGCAAAAAGTTTAATTGTTGTAATTGTAAATAAGCTATTTGTGAGAAACTGGTTAAGCATAGGAGTTTTCACTATTCTCATTTTAAGTCTAAATTACATAGTTGACTGGATTGGAAGTCTCGGTGTCTATTATTTTTCAATTCAATGTTAAATGTATAGATATCTCGTATACACTGTAATACAACTTACTATACTTCTTGCGCGAATAATAGAGGATGATTGGAGATAAACCGATGACCCGTGCTAAACACGATAGATCAATAACTATCAATTTGAAAATCATATTAAATTCAAGTTAAATGTTCCTACCTAGCTGCCCTCCACCTCTATCAATATAAGTGAACAATAGCTCAAATGAAAGAGCTCGTTCCAGCGAGTGTTCTTAGACCGAAACAAACCACATAATCAATTAGAAGCGGAGATATGGAGAACGAAAACTATTTGAACTTAAGAAATGTACAGAAACAAATTGTTTAAGTATGGAAATGAATTTATTACTTGTGAAGGCTTAAAGTTTGGTGATATTAAATGCGTGACGACAAATCTGTCCATCAATACCTTTTATTAAAAAATATATCACATCTATTCGATATGTCGATATATCGCAAATGCCTCTGAGTTGCCTCTAATTAAGTCTAATGGACTCTTAACTTATTACGTCCTTTTATGTCACAAGAGAAATATCGTGATCGAGGGCAGTAGTGGATGACAGGAATAGACTATACGCCAGAAATTTTGATAGTTAAACGAATTTTACTGCTGACCCAAGAATCCAAATTGTTTCGGGCTCTTGATGTTAAGTTCTACGAGTAATATTGCTATTAAGCTGATTAACAAACGTAATTTTTTTGCTCCGACTAAGATACAATTTCACGATGTCTATGAGGAAAATTAATTCTTTCTCACCTATGAACTTTATTGGTATGTATTATTTTTTATTAAATAGCAGTAGAAATACTAACGTTTTGTTTTCGAGTTACAGAAAACTGATATTTCAATAAACATTATTTGAACAAAACAAATAAAATCGATGGACAAGTCATTCTAAAGAAATAACAGCTCTCTATATCTTGCACCAGATACAATAAGTTCCGATTAAGTATTTGTGTGCGGAATGTTTGTGGTATCCTTAATAGTTCGAACGGTATACTATACGCGTACTAAACTACGTATTGCTCAAAAACAATTGTGCAAACTCCGCGATAAACAAATCTTTGTCGACGTCTTGGAGTTAATTTGGATATCAGATTTTTCTTTATCTTTGATATCATTGTAAACAAGACCATATCGGTCATTGAGCGATAAAATTAATAATAGATAAAAGGTACAGTATTGTATTTTAAGCCTAGTCTAGGTATATACGATCCAAGTAAATCCGTAATCCCAATAAAGTATGCATGATTTTGTATATTGATTGATAGTTTATTATGATATTATTGTGCAGTGTTATTATTAAACATACGAATACGGATACGCGAAGGCAACCGGTATTCGTATCTTAATGCACCGACACATCACTAATACATACACATATCTATGGTACTCTTGTACTGAGTCTACCAATAGGGATGACCTGGTTTTGACAGCTCATAGCGGCCATGTTTGATGATGTATCTTTGACGTCTCTTGACATTTGTGTTCAGTAGTGTATTTGTGCCATTTTATCATGTCACGTTTCACTTTAAACACAGCTACAGAAAGAGCGCTTCGCGCAGAAACGGTCGTCATAGTGCTCCTTCTGTGCACGCTATAAATCACAAAATAACGAAATTTGAAAGTGAATTCACTCTCCACGATACTGCTGTGCCTGTGAGACAAAGAAATGCCCGTAGTGAAGAGAATATCACAGCCGTTCAGGCCAGTGTGGATGCGAATGCAAATCAATCAGTTCAACGCCGTTCACAAGAGTTGGGGCTCTCTCCAATGACCACCTGGCGTATTTTGCGGTAGGATTTGGGCCTACACCCATACAAAATTGTTTTGGCACAAGAATTGAAGCCATCCGACCATTGTATCCGTCGTGAATTTGCCGATTATGCACTGGAAATGATGGAAGCCGATGACGATTTTCATCGTAAAATCATCTTCTCAGATGAGGCCCATTTCTGGCTCAATGGATTTGTTAATAAACAAAATTGTCGCTTTTGGAGTGAGTCAAATCCACGTGTGGTTCATGAATCACCATTGCATCGCCAAAAAATAACAGTTTGGTGCGGTTTATGGTACGGTGGAATCATTGGTCCGTACTTCTTTGAAAGTGACGAAGGAAACCCTGTTACTGTGAATGGCGAGCGCTATAACTCGATGTTAACCGAATATTTCTTTCTGGAATTTGATGATATTGATGCAGACGACCTTTATTTTCAACAAGACGGTGCACCACCTCACGTTACTCGAGTGAACATGGAATTAAAAGTTTGGTGAGTCGTTAATTTCGAGAAATGGACCGATCAGTTGGCCACCAAGATCGTGTGATTTAACACCTTTAGACTATTTTCTTTGGGGTTACGTTAAATCTAAAGTGTACAGCAATAATCCAGCTACAATTCGTGACGTAAAAACCAACATTCGACGAGCCATAGCCGACATACC